TACAGAGCTCCCTCCTTTTTTCCCCAAGAGCCAAACAAAAACTCGGAAGAGAGGGTGGGATGTAGCAGCACGTGACCAAATCAATGAACGCCCCAAAGTGTAGCCTGTTGTTACACACCAATGAAAGGAGAGCAGGGTTTCCCTCGTATCTGGCACGGGGCACCTGGCAGGGGCTCACACCATGGCACGCGAGGGATGTAAGAACTGGACTTTAGGGGTGTACGGCAAAGGAATGAGAACATAGCACACAAATCAGTTAATAGGATGGCAAGTATTGTGTTCCTCCGGTTGTTTCTAATGAGTCTATAGGCGAGTCTGGAAAGACGGAAATAAATTTTTTTTTAACAAAACCACGGCACTCTCCAAACTGCAAAATAGCTGCTCAGGGTTGAGAAGCCCCTGGGCTGGCTCCATCCATCCAGACACAGGGGACTCGGTCAGCGTGAGAGTCCGAGCAGCAGCTGTAAGCGCGCGCAGAAGAGACAACGGTCTGTGCTGGGCCCGGGATGGGGACTCCCAGAGGCCTATAAATATACGGTACGTCAGCCCTCTGGTGGAAACCCTCTGGGCCAGGGCCCAGCCACAACAAACCAGGGTCAGGGGCTCTTTGTTGGCGGGAGGCTTAGATTTCTGACGCGGGACCCCCAGTGTGTCTAGCCAGGGCCGAGGGCAACTGTGAGCACCTGGGGGGAAAGAGTCAGTTCTTTGACAGACCCCAGCAAAGGGATTCCCGGAGGCCATTCCCTAGGTGCAGACCCCAGACTCCCCTCGCCTCGGCCAAGAATCCAGAGGAATCGGAAGGCCGAGCACCACGCCCCCTTGCTCCCCTTGCTTCGGGCCACGGGCCTTGTCGTACTTACCCAGGCCTGGGGGCCTGTCTTCCTCGCCCGCGTCCTCTCCCCTCCCTGCCCCCTCCTCACTTCAGGTCCCCTCCTCCAGGGGCCGCAGCCATGTCTGTTACTGGCAACTCTAAGGGGGCTTTGCTCCCTTCTCGGACGATAGAGACGCCGCTGTCAAACTAATGTTCTGGGCGCCGATTGGTCGAAATCCGAGACGGGCGGGGATTCCTGGCATCTTATTGGCTTCACGACGCGCTAGGCTGTAGCCACAACCACCCCTTTGGGAGCTTGGCGGAATTAAGTGCCAAGTGATACAAGCCGGAGAGCACGCAATCACCGTGCATCTTTGGGCGTAATGCTCGGGCGCTTTCTTGTCCAGAGGGGCCTGATCAGAGGTAAGGGCACGGCTTCCGCCTCGATCAATTTTCCTTCGGAATTATACTAAAAAGATGGACAGAGTCACCCCCCTCCCCCCCCACACACACACACCTCCGCAGCCTTCTTTTTTTCTTTTTTAAATAAGCCCTTTGCAGAATGCACGTGTCTCCTAAGCGCCTTCCTTGTTGCTGGAAACAAATGCTTAGAGACATCTTGCTCAGAGACCTTGGAGGGAGTCCCTCAGGGATTAATATTGCGTTCAAACCAAAGCTGGTGAGTCTAAGGCAATATTGACGTTTTCTCCTCAGCTCGGTTGAACTCTACAGGGAAAAACAAGCTAAAAAA